GAAGGATCGCCTGAGCCCAGCAGGTTGAGGCTGTGGTGGCCGTGGACATGCCACTGCACTCCAGCCTGGGCGACAGAGTGAGACCCCAAGTCAAAACAAATAAAAAATAAGCTATGCAGAAAATAAGATCAACAGATATGGCAGGTGGTGGGAGAAAAACATAGAAAGATGAATACAAACCTAAAACTACCAGATTTCCCAAGCACTCCTGATATGACACAATAGAGAACTAGAGAGTTTTACTGTTTCGCCAAAAACAGCACAGGGATGGTGACTGTTAACACACCAACCACCAGCAGAGGAGAAGCCTACTGGGTCTACTTTCCACCCACCCAAACCCCAACCAAGACTTTCCAGATCAGACGAGGTCTCTAAACTGGCATTTGTCACCTCTGATCAATCTTTGGGTTCTTCTCCTTCCTATCCCTTGATTAATAGCTCCAGTAGAGGCCTGAAAAAGGAAATGTTTATTAAGCAAAAACATGGAGCCAACCATGTTGCCCATCGAAGCTGGACTGGATAAAAAAATGTGATGCATATACACAATGGAATATTATGCAGCCATAAAGAACAACAAATATATGGACTTTGCAGCAACCTGATGGATTTGGAGTCAGTCATACTCAGTGATTTATCACAGAAACAAAGAACAGAGTTCCATATGTTCTAACTCATAAGAGGACCTTGAACAATTATAATACTATAAGAAAGCGATTGGCAGTAATGGGAAACTTGGTGGGGTGGGGTCGCAGGGGATTGGCTGTTGAGGGAAACTGCTAGGGGAGGGAGGGGCACACCTCATTCTCAGAGGTACCTGCATGATCAATGTTTGTATACCTAACCCTGAATTGTACCCCACATCTTTACAAGAAAAAATTTTTAAAAAGAAAGAAAGAGAAACAGTTCCCTTAGATGTGCAGTAAAGAATAGCTGTCGGGCATTCCAGGCCAACCAAATGATCCATCTGGAGAAGAAGCACCACCACACTTGACCAGACACACCCTTTCAAGATGTCTTCCAGGGCCACAGAAACCAGTGGAACAAATTCAGACACAGCGTCAAAGTTCATGAAGAGTAAGGTAGATTGGTCACCATTCGTAGTATGTAATTCTGAGTGTAGAGGGCAGGACTGGACAAGGCAGGGGAAAGTGGCCACCCTGGAGTGCTGTAGGTACTCAAAGCAGACATAGAATGAAGGTTTGGAGTTTGGGGGGATTTGTTTTTTGAGTTTTGTTTTGGTTTTTTTTTTTTTTTTTTGCTTATTAAATAAAGAATATAAGAAAAGAAAAAGATGTCTCATAAATAAAAGAGTAGTGACCAAAGGAGTTGATAAAACTTACTGAATTTAAACAATTGTTGTCAATGAAATTGTGAAACTTAACACACTTGATGAAAAGATAGGGGGCTTTTTGACAGTGTAAGTGTATAATGTAAAGTTATAAAAACCTGGAACTAAAATGTCAAATGATTTCAACAATACCTGAAAATTGAAGAGGCATATTAAAGGCCTCATTTAGCCCAGGGAGAATTCATACTTCTTCATTCTTAATGCTGATTTAAAAAAAAAAAAAAAAAACTAGGTTTATACTTTTCTTACTGACATTGACCTTATAAAAAATAGAAATTGAATGTATAACTTTGAATCACTAGAGGGGAAAAAAGGAACAAAGTTTGATGAAACAAACTTTTTCATCAGTAAAACTTTTTGAAATAATGTATGACGGGGGGAGGGAGATGGGATTAACAGTAGCAAATATCTGTCTGGGAACGGGAAAACACCCCATATCAACAGGGTGCCTGAATAAAATGCAATTGTATACCTAACCCTTAACTGTACCCCACAACTTCATAAATAAATAAATAAATATATTTTTTTTAAAATATATATATATATGACAAACAATTTTTGTGAAAGCTTATCTGGTATTTTTATTTCACTTATATTCACTTGTATTAGATTTGACAACATATATGCCTTTCATAATTTTTGTGGGATTTTTTTGATGTGAGATAAAGCATAATATTAAAATATTTTTAAATGAAATCAGACAAAACATTTAAAATAATGAGAGTACCAAAAGATTTAGTCCAAAGAAAGTGTGGCATCCTTTGGGAGGCAAGATGAGAGGACTGACAAATGGTGTCAGAGTGCTTCATAGGAGGAAAAAATGTGTTGGTTGGGAATACGAGAAGGGAGGGCAGGCAGAGACCCCAAAAAAACAGAATTATCTTTTGGAGGTCAGGCCCCTTGTAGTACCGGCTTCCTCCACTAGGTAAGTGTTCTAGGAACCCATCAGCATCAGTGTACCAGCCAGCATTGTTGTGAAAGGCTTCGTTTGGCTTCAGTAATTTTTTTTGTTTTTTAAGAGATTCTTTTAACACATCTGCCTATTTCATGATGGGTGATTTATGAGCATGCCTGCCCACACCGCACTGAGTGTTCAGCAGTTTTTGAGCAAAAACAGCATGACTTCTATGCCCCATCCTCCTTATTCACCCAATCTCACCCAGCATGACTTTTTTTTTTTGTTTCTCTAGATGAAAAAAGTTCTTAGAGGGAACCGTTTTTGCCAATGTGGAAGAGGTAAAATGAAAAATGCGAAAGCACTTAAAGGTATCAAAATTGATGAGTTCAAAAACTGTTTTGAGCAGTGGAAAAAGCATCTGGATAGGTGTATTGCATCAAACAGAGAGTACTTTAAAGGTGACTGAAGTTTAGACATGTAAGAATAAATACAGTTTTTTATAAATAAATTTCGGGGTTTTGGGGGGTCTCCCACTAACGATGAAACGTTAGATGTAGGCTGAGATCCCAAAGCAAAACCTTGATAGAAAGCAGGACTTACCAAGATAACCAAACTCTCAGTAAAATAAATAACAAGAATTGAAGGAATGAAGCTGAGACAGAGGAAAGGTACCAGGGAAAGGGTTTAAGGTTCAAGGAAATGGAGAATAAAGAAAGGGGTATTACAAATTAGGCAGCCTGCTAGAAACATATAGAGAGCAAGACGTTCACTAGGACCAGAAATTGTAGAGAACTGCAATATTATATTAATTTTGATGAAGCTGTACTTTAAACCTCTTTAATTAATTCAACAACTTCATTCCCACCCAACCTTCAGCGAATGTCTATTATACACACAGCCTTGGAATGTGGGAAAGGACTTGGCAATGTTCTGTGTGGGGTTCACAGTGTGTAAGAAGAACAGGACACAGATGTGAGCACACCATGGACATAACTCACTAGCGGAAGCAGAAGCTCAGGGCCAGGAGGGGCCTGGAGACGTGGAGGTACCCTGTCCCCTCAATGCCCTACGGCATCGAGAAAGGCTGACTCTGTCACTGCACATGGGATAAGGGATTTGAGACAAATCTCAAAGGAGAGGTTGTCTGAGTGATATTTTGAATACAGAATGTATATTCTCTCATGAGGATAGCTGGAGGTCAAACTTGAAAGTCCAAAACTTGGACGTGAGAGGTGTTCTATACCAATAGCAAAGTTAATGTTACCAAATAAAATACACTGGCTCAAAACACAATTTAAATGACAAAAAGAAATGTTCATATGAGTTTATATAATGAAATAAGTTTATAAAGACAAATAAAAAACTCTAGATTTAATACTATAGTACTATAAAGTACTAAGTTCTCAACCTGGAAAAGCAAAAGAATATTAATACTAAAAGATTAAAGTTATGGTATAGAAAAAAAGTCTTGCTAATTAATAAAGTGGCATTTCCTTTTGGAAAAAGTCCTAAAACAAGCAATGTAAATCTAAAACATAACTGACAGCAACGTAAATATTAGATAAAAAGAAAGTAGAAAACCATGTAAAGATTATATCTGATAAAATAGTAGCTCATTTTTATATTTCTTGGTACAGGAAATGAATTAGTCAAAAGAATAGAATTTTCTGGTTATTGAGAGATCTTAATTGAATGAGATCCAACCAGTTAAAAAAAAAGAAAAGAAAACATTGAGAAAGCTCATGGACAATAGATTCTGAAATCAGGTCTTCTAGAAAGCCTTGAGCCACCGAAAAGGAAGAAGGAAAAGAGAATAAGACGAGTCTTTCCTGATGACTCAAGTAATGATCTGTAACCATCTCAAGACTCTAAATCTCGCTGAGCAATAGGCCCTCTAGAACGGCTGAAGGGAGAAAATTCTCCCACCTCCACAAGCCACCAACTCCAGAGAATCTCCCTTGCCATCAGTCTGTGATAAACCAAACTCTCATCATGGGGAAAGGCCTGACATAATTCCTGCATGAATTCCAGCCTACGTGTTAGCCTCAGAAGGACAGAGAAGAAAGCTCCTTCAATTCCTGAATGGCAAGCTGTCACCTACACGGCATGGCTATCCATGTTCACTCTTGCTTATAACACCACTGAATACTTTTCTTGTTTTTTTCACCCAGGCTGGAGTGCAGTGGCAAAATCAAAGCTCACCACAGCCTCAACCTCCTGGGCTCAGGCGATCTTTCCACCTCAGTCTCTCGAATAGCTGGGACTACAGGATTGTACCACCATATTTGGCCAATTTATTTTATTTTATTTTATTTGTAGCAAAGTGGTCTTGCTATGTTGCCTAGGCTGGTCTCTAACTCCTGGGCTTGAGCAGTCCTCCCATCTCAGCCTCCCAAAGTGCTGGGATTATAGTTGTGAACCACCACACCCAGCCCTGAATACATGTTTTACGTATGTCAAATGTGCCTACTGAGAAAATGTGTTCAGTCCCTGGTTTTCTCTATGCCACTGCATCAAGTTCAGTATGGAACATGTACATACTCAATAAATACTAAGAGACAGCTTTTGAAATGTTCAGAATTTTTGTTGTTGTTGTTTAGTTTTTATTTATCTGCAATCCAACTAGACATGGAAGGGAGTAAGGAACTTATGGAACCCAAAGAAATGTAGCAAGAGCACAAAAATTATGGATATTGTGAATAAATAGGTTGGAAGGGGTGCTCTCCTGAGCTACAGAAGGAATGGTCTGGTAGTTTAAGATAAAACAAGTCCACAGTCAGCAATGGTGATCTTCTTGCTGGTCTTGCCATTCTTGGACCCAAAGCCCTCCATGGCTTGCACACCATTCATGCCCTCTTTCACCTTGCCAGAGACCACATGCTTGCCATCCAACCATTCAGTCTTAGTAGTGCAGATGAAAAGCTTGGAACCGTTTGTGGTGGGTCCAACATTTGCCATGGACAAGATGCCGGGACCTGTACGCTTCAAGATGAAGTTCTCATCATCAAATTTCTCCCCATAGATGGACTTGCCACCAGTGTCATTATGGCATGTAAAGTCATTACCCTGGCACATAAACCCTGGAATAATTCTGTGAAAGCAAGAACCTTTGTAACCGAATTCTTTCTCTCCAGTCTTCAGAGCACGAAAGTTTTCTGCTGTTTTTGGAACTTTGTCTGCAAACAGCTCGAAGGAGATGAGGCCCAAGGGCTCGACATAGACAGAAGTGTCGAAGAATACAGTGGGAAAAGGTTCAAGGTGATGATGTCTGCAAAGCCCAGAATATTTTAATTGTTTCCCCCCATTATTAGCTCATCCCAATAATTCCAGCACTTTGAGAGGTGGAGGCGAGAGAATTACCTGCACCCACAGGTTCGAGACCAGCCTGGGCACCATGGTGAGATCTCATCTCTACAACAAATAAAAAAAATTAGCCAGGCGTGGTGACACAGGTCTGTAGTTCCAGTTACTTGAAAGTTTGAAGTAAAAGGATCACCTGAACCCAGCAGGTTGAGGCTGCGGCGGCCATGAGCATGCCACTGCACTCCAGTCTGGGAGACAGAGTGAGACTCTTGACTCAGAACAAAAAAATTATTTCCTCCCTCTCAAGATCAGAAAACCAACCAAAGTCATTTGTTTGCTCTGCTTATGCTCAGAGGTTTCCACTCATCCTTCCGCCTCCCTGGACCACAATTCCTCATTTGTGTAATAAGGAAGTCTGGCTAGTGACCTCTGACGTTACCTTTCAGCTCCAGCACTCTGAGACGGCTTCAGCTCAAGCAACAGGATGTCATTTGCCCCAACACAGATTCTCCAAACTCCCTATTTCCGGGTCAGAAGCAAGAGAGGATCACAGAGGTCTAGGTGGGCCGCATAGCGTAGAAATCGAACCTTAAAGGATCAGGAGTTGGTCAAGTTCTGGCATTACTTCCCTTCTGCTTTGCTGTTCTCTCTAAACTGGTATTTTTCACATCTAGTCTTCTCTGAGTCCTGCTCCTCCTTATCCTTTAATAAGGCCAAGGAAAGGGTTTTTGAGAGAGAAACAGATTCCCTTAGATGTACAGTAAGGAAGGGTTGTCTTCAGGGCATTCCAGGCCAACTAAGCGAATCCACCTGGAAAAGAAACTTCCACACTTGACCAGACACCCTTCAAAATGTCTTAAAGAGACAGTTCAACCAGTTCACTATTTAGTTGTCACTGTCCATGAGCAGTTCCAAAGGTCTGTCATTAAAGTCACTGGGAACTTCTCAAAAAGTCTCTGTCCCCCACCTCGAGAGTTGGCCTACTATTATTCCTTCCCGTAACTGACTAGGATTTAAACTCTGGTTAGAAGACAGATGAAGCCTCACTTGAATGCAATGCTGTGTTATCTGTAGAACTCAGTTTCTCACATGTACTCTATCTTCCTTCATCAAAGCATCTTTTACAGTCACATCTGGCATTCTATCAAGAGTTAAGCACAAAGGTTAAACTAGACATCTTCCAAGTGAGTTCTGTGACTCACACATTCATGAGACCTGAGACTTGACAATGACAGGATTCTAGGTGATACTAGAAGTGATAATGTTTTTTAAGTCATTCGGGTCAACGCTATACAATACTAAGATGACACCCTAATTTTTTTTTTTTTTTTGCAATAAAGCCATTCCCAGAGGCCATTCATAGATCTCATTGGACACCTAAAAGCCTCTTAAAATAGAAGACTGTCCTGAAATGGACACAGGGACACTGCTAATTATATAACTCTTTTATGCAATGTGGGGCCTTTGGATTCAGGTCTCCTAACTCGGATGTGTTCTCTGCCATCTCCACGAAAAAGTTGCAAGAAGGGAATCTCCATGCCACATTGTAAGTTGACTTCAGGTTGATACATGAGGATATGTTATCATTTATCTCAGGCATTAACATACACTTGGTGTTTTGGCTTTGTGAAGATATAACAAAATAATGTCTAAAGACAAGAACATCAGCACAATAGAGAGGTTGGTTTCTAAGATAAATCAGATGCTCTCTAAATGTGATCATTTCCTTTCAAAGTGCAGCACAGTAATTGCCTCTAAGGAATGCTAAAGCCAGATGTCATTTTTTTCTTATGTCATTCTGCTGTGCAATATCGCCCAGTCTAGTAAAACTTGATCTCCCACAGGAGAGAATTCTAAGGTTTGCTGTGACAGCAAAACAAAAAAACCAAAACTACTCTGAGAACCCCAAAGAGCCTTCTTCACAAAGCTAATCAAACCACATTGTGTGCCTAATTATTTCTATTGTACCTTTCGACTAAAGACTATGGAAGGGTTTTGTTTTGCTTCTCCCAATTTGCATTAGGATTTTGATGTATGGCCTTCTGTTGCTTTTAATAAAATCATGCTACTCCACTTAAGAAATGTTTGCCCTGAAATAAGTGTTTCATCATGTTTTTGTTTTCTAAAATCTGAGAAGTCTACTTTGTGATTCTCATTGCTCATACCCTTGGAATAAATTACTATAATCAGACCACATAGGGAGAGAAGTTAGCTCCCGATTACAAAAGGAGTCAGTCCAAGAGGTAAGTATTCATCAACACTACTTTTTAACAATTCTGTTTTCCTTGTTAGAACACACACTCGCATCAGGACATGTTAAGGCTTTCGTCGGGCAGTCGCTCCTTCACTGCTCGATTTCTGTGAAATCCAGGGTACCCTACCGTTAATGTGGCTAACCTTACACCCATCTCCAGTGTCTCCTTGATGGCTTTATCTGGCTGTTATAATTTGTCATTGTCAAGTCATTTAGGCCTTTGGCTTTGGTTTTATTTTTTCCCGCAGGTGTCAAAAATGCAAAAACCACAATTTATAAAACACAAGATGACAGAATCCCATTTGCACTGGTTTTGAAATGCCAGAAGGTAACTTTATTTAAAATATCACAACCTCCTCTTCAAACCAGTTACATGAGTTCCAGGGTGGTCTGAGGAGCTGATTCAAAAAATAAATGCCACTGCAGCAACTTACAATTCCTAAGGCCAAACATCCAGATGTGTCAATAATCTGTGTAAATTAGAAACAGATGGAAGCCCTTGTTGAAAAATAAATATAATAGAATTATTTCCTTTGCCTCCTTATGCTTTCACACACTTGGATTTATTTCTTTCACATTTTTTTTGAAGTTGGTTCAGTATCAAAAACAAATTTTTTTCTATTTTTTGCACAGGGGTGTAGCTATGTATAAAGTTCTCCAGAAAAAGAAAGAACCATTAATTTTGTGCCTTATTTCATGCCCAGTGAAGTTGATCCGAGTACAGGGGCTCTCTGGAGTTGGTTGGCGACCCACACTCCCAGCAGATCTTCTGAGCTATATTCTAGATCAATCCCGTCCTGTAAAGTAATCGCCGTCATGAAATGCATTCTTTGTTCCCATAAGTTATGAGATCAAATAAACTTGTCAAATACGGAAGAAGTGTATTTCTGACAACTCGCATTGACTTTTATTTGCGGTAACAATAGAGTTGCTATTGAGCATTAAGAAGGGTTGTTGGATTTTTTTTAACATCTCTTTTTAGGAATGAACTTGTTTCTTAAATCCCAGTCACGTGTGCCAGGTGGAGGTGAGGACGCGTGTATGTGTCACTGGCTTGTGCAAAGAGAGCAATGGTTGTCAGTAGACAAAGGGTTGCCAGATAGAAATCAGAGGTTTGCATTTCCTTAGAGCATAAATACCACAGCAAACTGCACAGAGTTGTTTATTACCCGTGGATGTCAATTAGAAAAGTCCTAGTGACTATAGAGATGTTCTATTCTGGAATCGCTGGGGCCATTTTTGTCCCTATCATCGTGAGATCCAGGGAGGCAGATCCAACTACTTAAGTGCTCTTTGAAAAAACAGCTCCAAGCTGGGCTCGGTAGCTCAGCCTGCAACCCCGCACCTTGGGAGGCTGAGGTGAGTGGATTGCCTGAGCCCGCGGGTTCAAGACCCACCTGGGCAACTTGGCAAGACCTCATCTCTACAATACATAAAAAAAAAAAATTAGCCAGGCGTGGTAGCGCGCACCTGTAGTTCCAGCTACTTGGAAGGCTGAGGCGGAAGGATTGCCGGAGCCCAGCAGGTCGAGGTTGTGGTGGCTGGGAGCAGCCACTGCCCTCCAGTCTGGATGACAGAGTGAGACTCCAACTCAAAAAAAAGAAAAGAAAAGAAAAAACAGCTCCAAAGAAAATGAATACTAATACTGTGGGAATTTGTGAGGCCTTGACTTACAACTTTCTTTGCGTTGTGATTTCCTTTTGGGTATATTTTGCTAAGTGAAACTAGTTAAATTTTTTGTTAGCTACATTTTTTCTTAAAATAAAGACTTTTTCACAAAAAAAGAAGAAAATGAGCAGCTCCATATTCACCTCCTCACTCTCAAATGCCATTCAAAAGAAAAATAATAATATGTACTTCTTGCCAGACTCCATGGCTCAGCCTGTAACCCCAGCACTTTGGGAGGCCGAGGCAAGTGGATCGCCTGAGCCTGCAGATTCGAGACCAGCCCGGGCACCTTAGCGAGACCTTGTTTCTACAATAAATTAATATATATACATACTTGCCAGAAGTATAGACCTGTAGAATTATGAGGTCAGTCACTATCAATGTTCAATTCCTCTGTGATCTCTGAATTTTTCTTTGTTGGCCCCAATAGCCCAGCCATGCCTGGAAGGAGAGAAATGTTGTAGTATTGATCACATAGTGTCCCAGGCTAAATTATATTAACAAAAAAGGCAGCGTTTGCATGTCAGCTTCTGAAAAATTCAGCATCAGCTAAAATAATAAAATAAGCAAGCTTTGCCTTCAGTGCTGTTTATCCTCTGCTTTTCCTCCCATTCCATTAGGACAAAGACTGTTAAATCTTACCCCATGACCAACCTCCTCTAGTTCCTTATTAGCAGAACCATTGGGAGCAGGAGGCAGGTGCCAGTTCAGAAAATTTTTCTTAGTCCCTTTGCAAACAGGCAGGTTATGAGGTGAATCTTCAGGAAAAACTCTTTTTTTTTTTTTAAACTTGGAGTCTCACTTCATCGTCCAGGCTGGAGTACAGTGGCACGCTCATGGCCACCCCAGCATCAATCTGCTGGGTTCCAGCAATCCTTCTGCCTCAGCCTTCCAAGTAGCCAGAACTACAGGAGCACGCTTCCATGCCCAGCTAATTTTTTTATTTATTGTAGAGACGAGGTCTTGCCAAGTTGCCCAGGCTGGTCTCGAACCCACAGTCTCAGGCAATACACTTGCCTTAGCTTCCCAAAGACAGCTGGGATTACAGGCTGTCTTCACCAGCAGATCCCCTAAGCTCATTCCCTTCTTCCTCTTTCTCCCGACCTGACTCATGGTTGTGATTGCTGGCACTCCAACAACCATTCTGTAAGCTTGAGGGTGAGAGCAGAGAGCTTGGTCCCTGAAGCCACTGTACAACAGACCAGCTTGCCTACTCAATGAGATAAACACCAACCCTCATTCTGTAGAAGACACTACTTCCCGGTACCTGTAAGCAGCTGCGAAACCCAATTTCTGAGATACTCTCTGAGACGTTTCTGCCCCACACCCTGCCTGGGTTCCACCCCTCCTGGGGCTCACCAGACAATCTATCACTCCTTCTACCTCAGAAGATTATGGTGTTTTCCCTGTGTGTCTCAGGCCTTGTCTCTGCCAAACGCTTCTCCAGGGAAAAGAAATTGTTTTCATCCTCTCCAAGATGGTTTTGGTGTTTTCACTATTTTTGTCTTGGAATGTATTCATAAGCCACCACCCTTTCAAAAGATTTACATAAGGCAGTTTATCACCTAGCTAATCTGATTATTTAATGTGGCTCTTGGGCTGATGGACAAAGTCGTAGTCGAAAATAACTGAAAAAGTAAGAATATAAAGATAGCTGTATTATACCAATGACAGCTAAAGAGATATTTTAAAAATTCTTTCCTATCCAAGTATCCTTATATAAACAAACTCGTAATTTTTTTAAGTTATAAAAAAAACAACTGGACGTGGTGGCACAAGCCTGTAATCCCAGCACTTTGGGAGGGTGAGGTAAGAGGACTGCCTGAACCCACGGGTTCAAGAACAGCCTGGGCAACATGGCGAGACCTCATCTCTACAATAAATCAGGTGTGGTAGTGTGCACCTGTAGTTCCGGCTACTTGGGAAGGCTGAGGCAGAAGGATCGCTTGAGTCCAGTAGGCTGAGGCTGCAGTGGCCGTGAGCGTGACACTGCACTCCAACCTGGGCAATGGAGTAAGACTCCAACTCGAAAAAAAAAAAACTTGATGATGACTTCACTGGAGTGGAATTAAATAATCATAGCAAATTAACATGTGAGTTATAGTCAATTTTTTCCAGTGGTTGAAACAGCAAACTTCTAAAAAGCTTTGATTCATTCTTCTCAAAAACATGAGTCCCTTCTTTCAAAAACCGATTTCTTGCTGAAGTGGTTCCTCATTTGCTCCGTCTATTGTCAGTTACACTATCAGCAAGTTGGGCGAGAGGCATTTGCAGGCCTGTGCAGTTGTTTGGGTCAACCCGCAGCTGCTTAGGAGGCTGTTCACACCGACCCATCTGCAAGGCTGACTCCGAAGCATCCCTCTCTCCCTGCCTATCTGACCGTTGTCCTCTCAAAAACAGCGTGCACTTACCTTTTGCGCCTGATCGAGCTGAGAAGGACACAGAGACGCTGCTTGTCTGCAGCCCACCTCCGGGGAGCTGTTCTTGGCTTTTCCCCTGGCCTCATGAAAGCTTAAACCAAATTGAGGACAGGACTCCAGATGTTTCTTTTATACTTCCCTTGTTGCTCTGTCAACTGGGATTCTGTCTTTAATGACATAAATTCCTCCCTTCTTCCCCCACTAGAAACTGATAACCAATGAGGAATAGAGGTGAGAAGGTGGTGGGGGAAAAGATGGGGAAAAACACTGCGGCTAAAAAGCAAATGTGTTGCTATTAATTCAGAAGGATTGCATCCCAAGTAGTGCCTCACCACACTGAAGGATACTTCCTTGCCCAATAAGTAAAGGCTCGTGGCCAAAGACACACCTGCCTAGGTAAGAAGCGTAATTATTCCCAGGACTGCAAACCTCATGCACTTTACACGCAGACCTCCATCCAGCCTTGCCTCCGTATACTCAAATTGCAGTGTCCTCAAGGTTTCCCTCTCACTCCGCCTCTCAGGTGTCATTTCACAAAACCCATGAGGAAATGGCAGTATGCTCAGAGAAGTCAAAGCTGATGGGGCAAGAAAATCAACTGTGCCATGGCCTCCTCTCTAGAAACTTCTAGTTTTTCTTCAATTTTGATCAACGCTGATATGGCATCTTTAGCTTCTCTTTTTAAAAATTTATCCTGCGACCAGGCTCATGCAGGTAATTCCAACAGTGTGGGAGGCCGAGGTGAGAGGATTGTTTGTGCCCAGAAGTTCAAAACCAAACTAGGCAACATAAAAATCCCCTGTTACTACAAAAAAAAAAAAAAAAAAAAAAATTGGGCAGGCATGGTGGCACTGTAGTCCCAGCTATTCAGGAGGCTGAGGCGGAAAGATCACCTGAGCCCAAGAGGTCGAGGCTGCACTGAGCTGTGATCATGCCCTTACATTCTAGCCTGGGTGGCAGAGTGAGACCCTGATAATAAATAAATAAATAAATAAATAAATAAATAAATAAATAAATAAATAAATAAATAAAATTATCCTGAAATATGTGTACTCTAATACTCTGAGACATTTTAATGTACCAAAAGAAGCATTTGGTTGTCATTATCAATGTTATTTCAGTTTTAATTTAAAGGAACATCACAAATCTGCTAGTTATGTGCCGTACATACTATCTGCATCAGATCTGTATCTTCATCCCAGATCTCTGTTTTCTGAGACCCATGTGTACCCACAAGTGACACAGCACATGATTAATTGAACACTAAATTATTAAATGAACAATTTCTGGAGACAGCCTGCTTAGCGTTGGATCCCAGCTCCAATATTAACCAACTAGGTGACTGTCGATAAATCACTTTATCTCTTTGCATCAGTTTTTTCATCTATAAAATGGGAGTCATATATTCTATTAATTCTAAGAAGGACATTTTAACGTCTTTGATACCAAGATGCATCTTACAACTGACAGTCCCTTGGATTTGATTAAATAAATTAGCAGTAGCTGTTAGGACTGTCGTGAGGATTAGATTGGTGAAAGTATGCCAATTCTGACAAGCTGTGATCACTTTTCTCCTGGTTCCCCTCCTCCCAGATCCCTGGAGACCTTCACTGGGGTCTCACATCGCTGTGTTTAAATCCCTACTCCAATTCTCTCATTCTCAGTCTTGTGTATCTCCTTTAGTTAACAGCAAATGCTTCAAGATTGTATTTCTTTATTTCTAACACGTAACGTTTTCCTGCCACATAGTAATCAATACAAGATTGTTAAATGAATGAACATGGGATTGTGGGACAATATATTGAGAAAAACATACCGAGAAAAAACTGAGAGAGAGAATAATATAAGAAAAAAATCCAATTAAATTTTTCTCCTTAGCTGCACCGATCAGCCCTTTCCCGAAATGTGCCTTCTCATTTCTCTTTCCTAGAAAGTGCTGTCACTCTGGTAAACAATCCATGCCATTGTGCCCTCAGGCCAGGGCATGGATGCTCTTTTTTCAAATATTGACATCAATGCTCTGAGCACCTGATAAATGGATATTGTTCTGATTTCTGTTGCATGACAACATCCTTTAGTGCACTGCCCCATGTTTATTGAAACGTCAACAAACTATGAAAATGCTGTTAAGAATTAAAATTGCATATGTGGTCATGAGAAAACAATGGAAAACGGAGACCAGCACCAAACCTCAAGTGCATTCTCCGACTTAGAGTGCCCCTGAACGGACTGCCACTTACTGTGAAAGGCGTAAGCACTCTTACAGACCTCCAAGCTAGCCAGCCCACCCCGACCCTATAACACGGAGTCAAACTGTGCTAATGTGACAAAAACACCAGCCAAGTCCACATGTTAATTACACTGAGAGAGTCTTTTGTGGTCTGGGAGAAACACAAAGGGCAATAAATATTGACTCCTCTTTACCAATGATGTATTTCAGCTAAAAGTCTGGTCCACAGGTGGCTCAAAGTGTCCTCATCAAAGACTTGCTTGCCACTTATTGGCCAAAGGCCATTAATGACAGGAGAGCAAATGCCAACAGGTCCAAGTAATTGATACTCTCCTTGCACAGGCCAAGATCCTGTATGCAGTAGTAGACAATCACAAAAGGATATATACAGCGTTTTAAAACCAGCACTTACATCACATATCCTGGCTGGTTTATAGAGGGAAAAGTTACAGACTTAACACACCTTGCATATGGGATCTTATCAGGCCTTCACTTTATGTAGGTATTCTTTTAACCAAGCACAGGACAATAACAAGTGGTAGCATGCTGTTTCTTGGGAGAAGAAAGGTAGCTATTTCAATTCACGTGGTAACTGTTTGAAGTATAATAATACTCTGCAGTTGTGTATGATTACTTTTTAAACTGTGTACCTTATCTCTGGATCCCACACCAGGGGAGATAGTGAAATGAGAGCTCCCGTGGTAGCATCTTCTACGTCCCTGCATTAGATCTGCATTCTCAGCAAAGCAAAATTATAACCAAGTCCCTGTGGCAATTCCAGCACTAAGTACCCCCATCCTCTGGAAAGAATCCAGGCCAGAACCACCTCCTACTAAATCCCATTCTGTAGTAAGTTGTCCCGTACATTATTGTCCTTTTAAGTTGCACCGATCGCATCAGGGAAACAAGATTCCATTTGAGTTCGATGTAATTTTCTTCGAGTTGGACAGAACACACAAGTTTTGTCTTTTAAAAAGGTGTTGAGTAGTTCCAGCTGCTTGGAAGGCTTAGGCAGAAGGATCCCTGAGTTCAGCAGGTGGAGGCTGCCACTGCAGTCCAGCCTGGGTGACAGTGAGACTCTAACTCAAAAAAAAGGTGTTGAACCAGATCCCTACAACCTCTATGTTGCTTGCTGGAGCATTACTAAAGCTCACCAGTTTTTCCCATTCTCCTCCTGCTCTTGGAAATAGAGGGGAGGCTTTTTCCCACCTGGGGAAACATGACCATTGGACTTGCTTTGGCCAATGATGTATGAAATGAAAGGAATGGGTATCATTTCAAAGCAGAAGCATCCAGGGTCAGGGCCAGATTCTCTGTGCTCACTTTCCTCACCACAGAGATTGTAGACACAAATGCTGAGATGCAGATGTCTCAAAACCAAAGGGCCTGGAAGACTGAGCCACCACATGGCGAGTCACCTCAACCTAAGTTGTACTTCGTGTGACAAAGAGATGCTGTGCTGTTATCACAGCATAACCTAACCTATGCAAATACTACAGTAACTTTGAACCTGGGGAAGTGGAATTTGGTTTTGCAGCCTCTGTGCTAGTCATCAATAAAATGCTATGAGGCAAAAGGATCACCTGAGCCCAGCAGGTTGAGGCTGCGGTGGCCATGAATATGCCACTGCACTCCAACCTGGGTGACAAGAGTGAAACTCCAACTCAAAAAAATAAAAATAAAATGCTAAAGCTTTCAAGGTTATCGTCTCCCAGAGAGAAAGTTATATTGTTACATTCTATTTCATCTAAGAAAAGTCAGAATATAGTGTCCTTTAAAATTGAGCTACTAGAATGTAGCAAAATGCCTTGCTGTAATGCATAATTTTCACTCTAATGAAGGTTCTATATATTGTGACAAGAAAATTGAGCTGTTGCCTAGTATGATTGCAATTATGAAGGAAGTTTAAGGTTATAATTAATTTAAATCACAGTACTGACTCAACATTATCAGTTTGGCCTCTGAATTTAAAAAAAAAACTGTAAGCATTTTATGCAAAAATGCATTACACTAATAACTTAGCGAATTATTTAACATCATCATAATACTCTAAGAATATGGAAGAAATACTTTTGATCTACAAATATACAAAGTGTTTATCTTAATATTTATGTGTGTCCATGGCTCTAAATAATAGTAAGTCATCTGAAAATTGTTGTAATCAATATTGAAATTTTAGACCACTGGGTAAATTTTTTTTTTCTGAAAATTCTTTCTTATTTTTCTGAAAATACACGATAATGAGATTACTCCCCCTCCACCCCCATCTTTTGTATAATCCAAAGGCTATGTGAGCCAGGTGTACTGGCTTATGCCTGTGATCCCACTACTTTGGGAGGCTAAGGATTGCTTGAACCCCGGAGTCCAAGACCAGCCTGGGCAACCTTGTCTCTACAGCAAGACCTTGTCTCTACAAAAAAATTTAAAAATTAGTCAAGCGTGGCACATGCTTATAGTCCCAGCTACTCAGGAAGCTGAGGCAGAAGGATCACCTGAGCCAGGAGTTAGAGTTGTGGCTGTGCCACTGCACTCCAGTTTGGGTGACAGAGTGAGACTCCAACTCAAAAAAAAAAAGTCATTAATAGGAATTTTTGAGAATTCAAACTTATCACACACACATACACATAAGGCTAAAAGATACAGAGTATTTATTCTGTACTATTCACTTGCTAAATGCTTTATATCCAATATACTATCATCACAAAACCTCATGACAGAATATTAGTATTGTCCCCATTTTATACATGAAGAAGTTGAATCTCAAAGATAATTAAAAAAAAAAAAAAACTTACCTAGGGCGTAACAACTGATAGAGTTAGGCTTTTAATCCAGATCTGTTTAACTCCAGAGCTCAGT